TCATAAAAGGGGGAAAAAAGCAGACTCAGGAAACTACAGACCAATCAGCCTAACATCAATACCTGGAAAGATACTGGAAAAGAGAATAAAAAAAACAGATCTGCCAACATCTAGAAACAAGTAAAGTAATAACTAGCAGTCAGCACGGGTTTGTTAAAAACAGATCATGCCAAACCAATCTTATTTCATTCTTCAATACAGTGATTAGCAGACCAGCGAAATAGGGTGGGCATAATACACTTAGACTTCACCAAGGCATTCGACCACAACCCACTTCTTGGTAAGCTAGAAAGAAGTGGGATAGATAGCACCACCACTAGATGGACTCGCAACCTGCTGGCAAACCGTACTCGACGAGTAGTCCTTAATGGGTCTAAGTCTCCATGGAGGGAAGTAAGCAGTGGGGTGCCACAAGGTTCCTTGTTAGGCCCAGTACTCTTCAATATCTTCATTAACGACTTAGATGAGGGAATAGAAGGGGAATTTGCCAAATTTGCGGCTGATACTAAGCTGGTAGGAATAGCCAACACCCTAGATCAGTGGTGGCTAACCTGCCAAAACGGGAGCGCATGTGCACATGTGCACCGGAAACCGGAAGAGCAGCTCCCCGATGCACGTGCATGGAAGCACCGGAAACTGGCTTAGCTTCCTGGCACGCACGTGCATGCTGGTCACCTGGTCTTCTGGTTTCTAACATGCATGCGTGTGCATGCACTCCAGCGAGCTGCTCTTCCGGTTTCCAGTGCTCCTGTGCACATGAAGACCAGTTGACCAGCGTGTACTAAGGCCCAGAAGACCAATGTGCGACGGCTGGTGTGCCCAGAGAGATGGCTCTGCATGCCACTTCCAGCACGCATGGCATAGGTTCACCATCACAGGCCTAGATGATAGGCTCAGGATCCAGATGGATCTTGACAATGGGCCCTGTCTAACAAAATAAAATTCAATGTAGAGAAAAGTCCTACACTTAGGCAAGAAAAACCAAAAGGACCCAGATAGACTAGGTGAAACCAGGCTTAATAGCGGTAACTGTGAGAGGGATCTTGGAGTCTTAGTGGACAACCAGCGAAATATGAGCCAGCAGTGTGCAGCAGCAGCCAAAAAAGCCAATGCAATCCTAAGTTGTATTAACAGAGGGATACAATCGAGATCAAGTGAGGTACTAATACCACTCTGTAAAGCCTTAGTAAGACCACACCTAGAGTACTGCATCCAGTTTTGTTCACCACATTATAAAAAAGATGTTGAGTCTCTAGAAAAAGTGCAGAGAAGAGCAACCAGGATGATTAGGGGACTGGAGACTAAAACATATGAAGAACGGTTACAGGAACTGGGCTTGGCTAGTCTAGGGAAGAGAAGGACCAGGAGAGACATGAGAGCGGTCTTCCAATATTTGAGCGGCTGCCACAGGGAGGAAGGGGTCAAGCTATTTTCTAAAGCGCCTGAAGGCCAGACAAGGAATAATGGATGGAAACTGAACAGGGAGAGATTCAACCTGGAAATAAGGAGAAACTTTCTGACAGTGACAACAATCCACTGATGGAACAGAAGTTGCCTTCGGAAGTTGTGGGAGCTTCATCATTGGAAGCTTTCAAGAAGAGATTGGACTCTCATCTATCAGAAATGATGTAGGGTCTCCTGCTTGGGCAGGGGGTTGGACTAGATGACCTACAAGGTCCCTTCCAACTCTTAATCTGTAAGTAAGTAACGTCTGTAAAAAAGCCCACGTTCTGCACAGCTGCCTCACGTCCTGTGGGGCTCTCACAACTGGTGCCAGGTGCTACGAATCCTGAAGCCGGGCCTGGTCTCTTCCTCACCAGCCGTATTCTGGGATTGGAAACCTTTCTGGGCTTCTGATCCTCCCCGCAGCCCAAAGTTTGCTCCCAACTGCCTGTCCACACACTTTTCCCTTCGGAGCATTTCATCTTCCTCCTTTCAGCCCTGTTGAAATGATGGGAGAGGCCCAAGAGCCTTGGGAAAGAGAAGCAGCAGGATTCAGAAGGAAGTCCAGGAACCGGCCTCTTTGTGGCATCCTAGCTTGCGACAGGCTGCGATGAACACAAAGCTTTGCATTTGGGGTTGTTGTCTTGAAAAGCTGCACGCTCAGGCAGGATAGTCTGCTTGTTGCACCAAAACAGAAACATCTGGCTGATTGAATTGCTTTCCCACACACACCCAGATGTGTTATGTTGAGCTGTGCCTGGTGACTTAGGATGCTTGTGGGTGGCTGTGGCATCTTTTGGGCACTTGAGCCCTTCCCTGCCGTATGCACTGGATTTCAGGCTTGGCACGTGTTCCGAGTGTGAGGTTAGGTCGGATCTATCCAATGATGAGCTCATTGAGGCTCCAGCTGCCTCTCTTCCCTTTGGGCATCGCAAGGAGAGTGGCTTCCCTAAGCATCGCTCTGCCCTGCCTCTGGATCCCCTGTTCCTCCTTAAAATGGGCTCGCTCAAATGGAGAGGAAGGCCGGAACCGGAGGTGGGCTGTTTGCGATACTCTTTCTGGATTCCAGATGACTCCGGGAAGCTGTTTGAATGGAGCCCTTTTGGGCATTGTTGCCTTCACGTGGAGTCATCCCACAGAGTTGCTCCGAGTGGATCTTCAGACTATTGGCAGATTCTGGGGGAAAGTCCGTGGCATTGCTCAGCTTGCTTCGACTTAGATGTCTTGCTTTCAGCACCCCTTGTCCCTAAAACGAAAGACGTGTTTCAGATTACGTGGTTCAAAGATGGAAGCAAGGTCTGGATGCGTGGTCCGAAAGCACCGGAGGAGGCTGGACTCCATCAGGGAGGAGCCGGTCAGCGCACAGAGCTTCCCTCCTTGTCCCTCAAAGTCAGATGTGGCCTTCGGGCACCCGATGCTGAGTCACTTCTTGCCCAGGGAGCACTCAAAGATCGCGTTGCTCTCCCAGCTGGCCACAGCAGATCGTCTGGGCCCGTCTCGGTCAGGATCCTGGTTTTAGCTTTGGACTAAACTAAGTTTCATCCTTGCTACGAACTGCATCAGGGACACCAGATCCATTTTCTTTCTTGTGTCCTTTCCACCCCCCTGCAGTCAGGTTCTGCTTTTCATGCTGTTTTATGAGCCCCCCAGGGGGAGCATCCAGGGTTGGAGCATATCCCCGCCTCCATGGGAGCTCACACAGTGGCCCCTTTTTTTTTTTAATCCCGTCAGGGGAGCCGTTGGTATCACGAGATCATGGAAGGCCTCTCTCCAGGGAGAATTGGATTTGACAGCTTGTGACCTCGGTTGTCAGAGCTCTGTTTCTGGGGAGAGAGTGAAATATTGCAGCCATTGTGGCGGCAAGTTCTAGGCCGCCTGGACGGTTCTTCTCTGATGAGAATCGACCCTCTGCATGATCGGCTGGTGAGAGAAAGGAAAAGGTCACCACATAGGAGGAGTAGATGAGATTCTCTCTCCTGACCTGTCCTCTGCTTTGGCTTGCCCGGTTCTCGTCCCAGAAGGTTGCCTGGCCTGGCACGTTAGTGTTTTGTGGGAGGTCTCCTCCTCCTCACGCAGCTTTCTCTGTTTAGCCACTCCCTCTTTTGTGCTAGCTGATGTTTTCAGGGCTGGAAGCTTCCCTGGGGGATACAGGTTCACTGGGGGGACAGGGCTCCGGGTGGGTCACGGTGCTGCAGAGCCCATAAGAAGCCAGGCAGAGCTGCGGAGACGACTGGCTGCTGAGTAGGGTATCAGCCGGGAGCTGAGTAGGGTATCCCCCCATCGCATAACTTCTCAGATTTAACACAACCTGCTCAGGTGCTTCTCAGCATCCTCAACAACCAGAAGTAGTTGTTTTTGGAAGAAGGTAAAAGCTTAGAATATTTGTAGGCTGAATTGTGGCGTGGATAGCCAATGCCAGTCACAGTTGCCGCCTCCAAAGACACATACCTGCACCCTGGAGTTGGCTCTCCCTCAAAGGGTTTTCTCATAGGTTTGCGCTAGCCAGGAACGACCCAAGCTCTGCCCTTCCTTCCTATCCAGGTGTCCCGGGGGTGGGGCAGAGCCTTGGGGCAAGCAAGAACAAAACTTTCCCCAAGATGGGCAACCGTCCGGGAGTCAGAGCCCCCTGCGCTTGTCACGCACGCAGCAGCCTTCCGACTCCCTCCACTCGTCTTCCCTGTCCTCTTCCATTCCGGCAGACTCTGGCTGTTTTCGGTTGGGTGCTGGCCAAGGAGCGCCTAGCACCGGGAAGGCCCCCTTTTCATAAGCCGAACCCAGATAAACACAGCCGGGCTCAGCTCAGGCTTAATGAGCCCATGTGCCGATCCAGACTCAGTAGATGAGCTCTGGAGCTTTTGCAAAACGAGGGGTGTTTTCCGAATCTTGGCGGCAGCCTCTAGGTTGGCATCTTGGCCTAAATGCCAGGGCGTGCTTAGTGGAGCCGATCCACCCTTCAGGATGGCTTCCCGAAGGATCACGGGGCAAGATGCCTGGGAAAGTTGGGAGACCCTTCTACCTGCCCCCAGAGGGAAATGCCACCTCCCTCTAGGTAGCCCGGGTTTTCAAATCCCTCTCCCACTGGAAGAGTGCACTCGACCACAGGTCCTCTGGTCCTGGGAGGTCAACAGAGGTCCAGTCAGTCCTTAGACCCGCCCCCCTACGATCTTGAGAGCCCAATAGGCCTGGAGCCAGGCAAAAGAGAGACCAACCTTCTTTTTTGCACCCAGGGCCTTGTTTGGCATCAACCACGCTCTAGGGTTGCTGGTCGTCCGAAGAGCCTACGCTTCATAGCTGGCCTTGGGGAGAGGCAGTGGGTCAGCCAAGTGTTTCTGGCTCTCTCCCCCTGGGGAACAGGCTGGCATCAGCAAACACATCGCGGTCTGTGGAGGGGATGCAGGTTTCCTGGCCTAGTCCTGAGTCTGGCAAAGGCAGCGTTTCCTGCCTGTCTCAGGCGCTGCTGCGGCTGTGGCTGGGACTTCTGGGGAACCAGGAGCCCTGGGTGGGTGCCTTGCTGGTAGCCAGTGGGGCAGAGAGAGAGAAGGCCCAGCGCAGAGGTTTGTGGGCTGATGGTTGCACGCACTAATCTCGCTCCTGTCTCTCTTGTCCTCCCTTCACTCTATTCTCCCCTTCTGCCACTGCTGCTGCCGCCACCTGTGTCTCTCTGTTCCTGTCTTCCCCCTGTGACTGTCTCTCCTCCTCTGCTTTCTGCTCCTGCTGGCCTCCAGACCGCAACGAGGAGGCCCAAGGTGAGAAAGGGTGTGTGTGTGTGTGTGCGCGCGCGCCCTGATTTTCTTTTTTAAAAAAATAGTAATTTTATACCAACTTAATGGGGGGTTAGACTAGATGACCTTCAAGGTCCCTTCCAACTCTTAATCTGTAAGTAAGTAATAAGAAGAAAAACCTGAAAGTGCAGGAAAACTAGAAAGAAAAAAAGAGCAATAAGAGTAAAGAAAAAGAAAACGAATTACTTCATGACAAGTATAAAGTAACTTAACTGGTCTCTCTTAAAATACAACAAACTCTCTCTTCCCACATCCCATCTGTAAATAAATCCCTAAAAGCCCGTTTTAGTCTTAACCAGCAAACGTCCTTTTATCAGAGAGATAACAATGTAGCTATTTTTATTTATTTATTTATATTTCATATCTCTCAACCGCCCACGTCCCTCAGATCATTATTGGCTTGATTGCTGTATCGCCTCATTAACCTTGATCAAATAAGCCAACTTTATATTCCTTCCTTTTACTTCTAAACAACCTGGATCTCCAGTCCCTTCAAATAATGTTCCTAGAAGTTGCTTTCTTTTAATTCCTCGTCTCTTCTCCCAAAGTTCTTCAAAGCTTTAACAAGTCTCTTTTGTAAGTCCAATATGGGAATATTGCCTCTTGGTTTGTTGTTCGTATATCTCTTTTAATTATTCAGACATTAGTCAAGATGATTTTGTATGTCCAACATGGCAATTTTTTCCCCGTATTATTCTTGTAGCCTGTGATTTTTAAATCTAACTTTCAGATCAAGCTTAATCTTGTTTAGTAAAACCTTTTCCTGTCCTTTTTTTTTCTTTTATACTGTCTATAGAGGCAGACACTTTTAAAATTAACTTAGGGGTCCATTGTTCAAACACATCCTTGCATATTTCCAGTGTTAAAATACTTTGCTCCATTCTGTACTAGTAAGTCTAATTTAAGGGTTTTTCCCCACCCCCTTTACTTTTAATTGTAATCTTCAGTTCCTTCTGGTTTCTTCAGCTCTCCTAGGTAAACCAGGAAAAAACAACACATCAACTTTACTGTAGGGCTGCAGTAAGAGAGTCTTTCAAGCGTGCAAGTACCAACCTCCCCACTACCACTCTTCACTCTCTGATCCCTGAGGGTGGGCTTTTCCTCAGTTTCTTTCTCTGTCCGATGGGCACGGAGGGGTGGGTGGGATCCTGACTCTTTCCTCCGGTGGCTTCCTGGGCAGCATCTCTGGGTCAGAAGGCCTTTTCTCAGCAGTGGAGGTGAGGCAGATTTCCAGGGCAGAGGTCTCCAAACTAGGCCACTTTAAGACTTGTGGACTTCAACTCCCAGAATTCCTCAGCCAGCTTTGCTGGCTGAGGAATTCTGGAAGGTGGCTGAGGAATTCTGGGAGTTGAAGTCCACAAGTCTTAAAGTGGCCAAGTTTGGGGGCCCCTGGTGTAGGGGGAAAACTCCTTTAGGTCTTTGCTTGCTTTAAGGGGCCTGAGGAAGCTGGCTATGCTGGCTGAGGAATTCTGGGAGTTGAAGTCCACAAGTCTTAAAATGGCCAAGTTTGGGGGCCCCTGGTGTAGGGGGAAAACTTCTTTAGGTCTTTGCTTGCTTTAAGGGGCCTGAGGAAGCTGGCTATGCTGGCTGAGGAATTCTGGGAGTTGAAGTCCACAAGTCTTAAAATGGCCAAGTTTGGGGGCCCCTGGTGTAGGGGGAAAACTCCTTTAGGTCTTTGCTTGCTTTAAGGGGCCTGAGGAAGCTGGCTATGCTGGCTGAGGAATTCTGGGAGTTGAAGTCCACAAGTCTTAAAGTGGCCAAGTTTGAGGACCCCTCAGTTGGCCAGGCCAGTGCCCACTTGCTTGTGGCAGGAATCAGCTATTTCTGCTGCACTCCTCCCTCCTTGGGGACAAGGGCCCAGCATCTCCTGAGGAATTGCAGTCCAGGTTGTGTCCTCACCTCCCCGTGGGGCCTGTGAGGGAAGACTGCCTCCTCCTTTAGGACCCTCCTTCCCTCCTCTTCCCCCCCCCCAACCCGGAGTCCTATCACATCCCACCTCAGCCTGCCCTCTTTTCTCAGGGCCAAACAGGCCCAGAACCTCTTTCTCTAGGATCTGGTTTCTGTCCTCTTCCGCTTTCTCTATATATGCAGGGTGAGGCCCTGATCTGGAGCTGGCCCTTGAGGTGGGGGGGTCTGAGCAAAGTAAATAAAGTTGGAAGGATTTAACTCCCCCGGTTTGGAAAAGACAGCCTCAAATTGTGTTTACCTTCCCTTTCCACCCCACCAACCCTGTGGCCTCATAATCCCAATTTGCAGGCAACGGTCCTTGCTCTGCCTCCCCCCCCCCCCCACACCCCGACTATTTTCGGTCCAGCTGCTCTTCTCCTTCTCCTGGGCTTTGGATTCTTTTTTTTCTCCTCGGTGAAATGATTGCATTCTCAGTTTCTTTCCATTGTATTCAGTCTATTTTTTTATAACCTTGAAGAGCAATTTTAAATGTTATTCTCTTTTTGGGGTTAAACTGCCCTACCCAGTTTGTCATCTGCAAATTTGATAAGCATTCCTTCCATCTTTTCCTCCAAGCCATTAGTAAGGACACAGAAGGGGAGCAGTGACCTTTGATTTAGGGTTCATGCTCTTACATAATACAGCTGATAGGATTACTCTCCCTATATTTTATAATTTTCTCCTGCTTATACCGGAGTTGATAGGTGGGGTGGGTGGGTGGACGGATGCTGGGGTCTGAGGAGATGAGAGCTCTGAGCAGAAGGACCAACCTGAAGGCTCAGTTTAAGCCCACCTTGCCCCTGCCCCACCAAAAACTATGGAAGAGGGAGATGCCTCAAAGGGTGAAGTGAGACCCTCCTGCCTCCCCAGAGCATCCCTGTCAGTCTGGGCGAGATGGTGCTTCAAAGCGGGGGAGAGCAGCCATCTTTGGAAATTGTAGGCATTTTGCCAGCTCCCCCCCCCCCCCACTCCCCTGGTGGCCACAACAGGTCTTTCTGCAGGCCATTCTGCTGCCTCCTTTTGAGGGGCCAGCTGTAAAATTTAAAAAGTTTTGGCTTTTGCAGATAGCTGGACTCCTCACTTCCTTGGCATTTCTTCCAGAAGCCGTGAGTGGTTGTGCATCTACATGGGTGCCACTTTACAAAGGCCGAGGCAGATGTCAGGCCTGGCAAGATCTCTTCGGGTGAAAAATGCTCTTCTCTCACCCATCCTCTGTCTTGCAGCCCACCCGAACCGGCAGTTCGGCCACATCCAGCAGCACGGCAGGGCTCTCTGGCTCGGCCTCAGCCTCGGCCGGGGAAATGAGCAGCAGTGAACCAAGCACCCCGGCACAGACCCCTTTGGCTGCCCCCATGGTGCCCGTCCCGGCTCTGGCATCCCCAGTGGCTCCTCCAGCAATCCTGTCTCCAACAAAGGTGAGGTGGAGGGGAGGGGAGGAGAGAGTGTGTGTGTGTGTGTGTGTGTGTCCGGTTGCACATTCGCAACAGGCATCTTGGGAACCTGGGAGGGGCTGCAACCTCCAGATGCCCTGGATGCAGGTGTTGGGTGTTGCTGGTGAGATCCTGGGTGCGGAAGGGCTGCTTCCTGCCCCCCCCCAGCCCCCCCAGACTCCTCTGGAGTCAGGCGCTTGCAAGGGGGGCAGCCGAGGCCGAGGGCCTGAACTGGGGCTCAGCATTATGGGAACACAGCCCTCTTTCCTAAGGCCAAGCCAAGCCAGGCCACAGGTAGCAGCCTCAAGAGACCCACCACGTCTTCTCTGTGGCCAAAGGGTGGAAGGAAGAGGGTCTCTTCCCACGGAATTGCAGCCTCCGCGGCCTTTTCTTGCAGACTATCCTTGCAGTGAAATCCAAGGCTCCACCAGTCAGGATGGGACCTTCCCACAGAATCCCCAAATCCCAGCATTGGCCCCTCTGAGGGTCCTGCAAGTCGAAAGGCGGCCTGGGCCTCCCTTCGTTCCTTGAGCTCCCTTCCTTCCTCAGAGGCAGACTCTGGCTCCTGCGAGCGGGCCTTTTGCCCTCCCTTTGCTCAGTTCAGCTCTTGGCCTCCCCCACCCCACCCGGGAAGTACAGAATCCACGCCAAAAGTAAGCATGAAGCCAGAAGGTCTCCAAACTTGGCCACTTTAAGATTCGTGGACTTCAACTCCCAGAATTCCTCAGCCAGCATGACACCCATGCTGTCTGAGGAATTCTGGGAGTTGAATTCCAGTGGCCAAGTTTGGGGACCCCTGCATTAAGCACAACCAACAGCCAGGACAGGAGGACAGCGACGGGTTTGCTGTGAAAAAGAATCACACGTCACTTGGCGACTAAAGGTGGTTGCACCGTTTGGTGGGCCCGTTAATCCTGTGACCGACCATGCCAGGATGGCAGTTCAGGGGGCAAGATGGCATCCCCCCTCCCCCCCCCCAAAATGAATGCATTTCATTTGCTCGTGGCATTGGTTTCATTTGAGAAAAGATCCCACCAGGAATTGGACAAGAGTGGATGATCTGGAGCTGCCCGGGGGGGGGGGGGGGGGAATGTAGCCAGGGGGTGGTGGGAGCCCTTCCTCCCAAGGGAGGCCAGGGTGATTCAGAGGGCCCCTCCCTCTGCCCGGTAGGAGGAGGAGTCTCTGCGAGGGCAGGTGCGAGACCTGGAAGAGAAGTTGGAGACCCTCAAGATGAAGCGGAATGAGGACAAGGCCAAGCTGAAGGAGCTGGAGAAGTACAAGATCCAGCTGGAGCAGGTCCAGGAGTGGAAGAGCAAAATGCAGGAGCAGCAGGCGGAGCTCCAGAAGCGCCTGAAGGAGGCCAAGAAGGTGGGCTGCTCAGCTTCGGGAGGGGAGGCAGGCAGGGAGGAGACCCCGGACTTTCCCGTTGACGGAGCTGCCTTGGGATGCGCCGGCCGGCTGTCCTTTTGCTTGGCGTCCCTCTCTCCCCACCTCGACCTGATTGATAGCTGCCGGTCGGGGATCGGGCCCCAGGGTATCAACCGCGTTGCAAGCCCCGGCTGCTTCCTCCCGGCCCCTTGCAGGAAGCCAAAGAGGCCCTGGAGGCCAAAGAGCGCTACATGGAGGAGATGGCCGACACGGCCGACGCCATCGAGATGGCGACCCTGGACAAGGAGATGGCCGAGGAGCGGGCGGAGTCCCTGCAGCAGGAGATGGATTCGTTGAAGGAGAAGGTGGAGGATCTCACCATGGACCTGGAGATCCTGAAGCATGAGATCGAAGAGAAGGGTGAGCGCCCCCCCGCCCCCCGACAGGCAGGCTGTGTGGGGACCTCTGGGCTGCAGCCTCAGAAACGGTCCCTGCTTTGCCTCCAGGGGCTCCTTTCCCCAAATGGGGGTGTTTTCAGGAGGGGGGCTTCTCTCCCCCTTGTGAGCCCTCTGGAAGCATCTAGAATAGTCTTGGCAATGAGGGCAGCTGCCGTGGCCTGGGGGCTCCGGACCGCCTGACCCAGCTAGGAGGGGGTGGAAGGGTCACGGGAGGAGAGAAATTTGATGAAAATACCAAAGGATTCAAAAGAAAATTCCAAAATCATAAACGTTTTGCACAAATCTGTGGATTCTGCCTCACGTGACCCTAGAGAAGGCGTATGCCAGAGCTGGAGACAGAGCAACGGCGGACATCAAAACAATCCAGACTCTGAAATTTAAATAGGTGGACAGACAGACAGACAGGGACACAACATTTTTGTTTCATCCACCACTTTGTACATTCTCTGTGAACCCTCTGTGTGTGTGTGTGTGTCTGTGTGTGGTTTTCAATTCTGCAGGTTCTGACGGAGCTGCCTCCAGTTACCACGTCAAGCAGCTTGAGGAGCAGAACGGCCGCCTGAAGGAGGCCCTTGTGAGGTAGGCGCACCAGCCGCTGGCGAGGACAGCAGGAGGGGGGTCGCAGAGAAGCTGGGTGGAGGGGGCCGGGTGGGGTGCCCAGGCGCCGGGGCAAGTAGTAGCTCCCCCCCTCCTTTGGCTTCGGGGGAGGCAGGGGCTGCTTCCCTCTCTGGCCTGGGGTGCGATTCCAGCCCCTTTGTGCCCTGAAAGGATGCGGGACCTGTCTGCCTCGGAGAAGCAGGAGCACGTGAAGCTCCAGAAGCACATGGAGAAGAAGAACACGGAGCTGGAGGCCCTGCGTCAGCAGAAGGACAAGCTGCAGGAGGAGCTGAAGCAGACCGAGGGGACCATCGATGAGCTGAAGGAGCAGGCAAGGCGTCGGCCAGGGGCGTCAGGCCAGCTCCGGCTCCCTTGGTGCTCCAGAGACAGCGGTTGTTCTCCCGCGCCCCCCCCCCTAACCCTCCTTCCCGTTCCAGGTGGATGCTGCTCTGGGGGCCGAGGAGATGGTGGAGACGCTGACCGAGAGGAACCTTGATCTGGAGGAGAAGGTCCGCGAGCTCCGCGAGACGGTGGGCGATCTGGTGAGAGCAAGCAGGGTGGGGCCCGGCTTGAGGGAGCGCCAATGGGCTTGGGCGCCAGGGAGAGCGCGCCACGTTTGGTCTCCCTTGCGAAAGGGGTGGGGGGTCTCGCTTGGGACGCCCTCGCTATCTGCTCTTGTGGCGGCCCTTTCCCCCCTTAGGAAGCCATGAACGAGATGAATGACGAGCTGCAGGAGAACGCCCGGGAGACGGAGCTGGAGCTGCGGGAGCAGCTGGACATGGCCACGGCTCGAGTCCGCGAGTCGGAGAAGCGGGTGGAGGCAGCGCAGGAGACGGTGGCCGACTACCAGCAGACCATCAAGAAATACCGAGAGCTGACGGCCCACCTGCAGGTACCGGCGGCTGCAGAGGCGGCTGCAGAGGCGGCTGCAGAGGCGGCTGCAAGCCGGGGTGATCTGGAGGGAGAGAGCCCCTGGGAAGAGGTGCCCGGATCCAGGGTTGGTTTCTGCTGATCAGCTGCCCCCCGTTTTGACATGGCCCAAATAAGGGAGGTTGAGGGTGCCGCACACAGAACGCCAGCTTTAAGCCCACCCCGTCAGGGGTCTCCTAGCCAAGGGGGAACAGCCCTTCGTCTGGGACGGTCTTGAGGGTCTCTGCCCTGGCCCCGCTTCGCTGATGCTGCCTTTCCGCTCTGCAGGACGTGAACCGAGACCTGATGAGCCAGCAAGAGGCCTCTGTGGAGAGGCAGCAGCAGCCGCCGCCCGAAATGTTTGATTTCAAGATTAAATTTGCTGAGACAAAAGCTCACGCCAAGGTAGGACGGCCTCAGCCTCAGCGGCTGCCCTCTTGTTCCTGGCGGCTCACATAGCAGTCGCTGGGCGGGAGGGGCCAGAAAGATCCCATTATAACTGTTCAATGGGGGTGGGGGTGCCTAAGGCACCCCAAAACATGCTCCAGGCTTGACCTGTGACCCTGATGGGCCGCAGAGTTCCTTCCGCTCCGGTCAAAACGACTCCTCCTTTCTCCTGGTCCAGTTCTCCAGCCAAAGAGAATCTCCGCAGCTCAGGGCTGAACTCTCTGATGCCCCCTGAGCTGCTGGCCTGCTGGCCGACGTTTCCCTGCCCACCTAGGTCAGGCTGTCAGTGCGAGTAGCTGCCCTGCAAACCTCACACTCCCCTGCACTTGAAGGGGTGAGGCAATTGGGACATGAAGCGCCTGCAAGCAGCGCCCACAGCTCAGGGGGGGCCCTCAGCCCCCCCCCACTTCCCCCCCAGTAACGTGTCTTAACGCAGGCTGCGAGCCTCCACGATTGTTCCAGTCCCGCCTCCTTTCCTCCAACTTTCTTTCTGCCAAGGCCTCCATTGCTTCCCTTTCCCTTTCTGTGGCGGATGCCCAGGTGCATAAAGTCTTGAGCCAAGGCAGCCCCTGTTCTGCTCCTGGCCTTGAGCTCTGGCCCCCTTCCCCGTCCCTCTCCTGCCTCATGCCCCCCCCCCTTCCGGTCACCTGGTGGGGCATTTTCTTTACCTGGATCTGCTGTGGGGGGAAAAGCCCGTTTTAAATGAGGGGGTGAGGCCAAGAAGCCCGAGCAGGCAGGCCCAGACCTACATTTGAACGGAGAGGCCGCCCGAAGGCATTCCCCTGGGGGGCCAGGGACCCTCTCCTGGGCACAGCCGTCCTGGCCATCCCCGGGGCTGATGGGGATCCCCCCAGGCTGGGCCCCATCGGAGCGCTCTTGCCTTGCAGGCCATCGAAATGGAGCTGCGCCAGATGGAAGTGCAACAGGCCAACCGGCACGTCTCCCTGCTCACTTCCTTCCTGCCCGACAGCTTTCTGCGGCACGGCGGGGACCACGACTGCGTTCTGGTGCTGCTGCTGCTTCCCCGGCTGGTGGGCAAGGTACCCGAGGGCGCCTGGCGCTAAGTTTCCCTCCCTTTGGATCCCGGCTTGAGGGGGCATGATAGGCGATCTTTTCCCATTCAAGCATTCCCCTTCCTCCTCCTGTGAGTGGTTGGAGAAGACCCTGAGCCGAGTTCACGTTCAAAAATCCTCTGCTTTCGATCGATCGATCACTGGCCCGCCTTCTTCTCGTTTGAACTCTCGTCTTCGATCAAACTCGGACTCCGCTTAGGGGAGAACCCTGTTTTTTTTTAAATTACAACCAGTGAGGTTTCCACCTGCTTTGAATAGGCAAAAGAATATACTTTCCCTGCAAAAATTGACATTTCGTAAGGCAGAAGAAGATTATGAATAGCCCGGTAGTAAATTATGCCCAGCGACTTCTTGTAGCTGTGATTTAGGGCTCACACACACACACACACACACACACACACACACACCAGTCAGAGGCAGCAGCTCTTTTAGGAGGGAGAGATCGAGTGAGTTGGATCAGGTCTCCCTCAAGCACCCAGGATCTGGCTACAGCAGCACCGAGATCTGGAGGTGCAGATGGGGCTTCTGGAGGGCGGGGCCGTCTCTAGCCCCCTCCCCC